GAACGATCCGGTTACTCCTCGGAATCGTCAAGTAGCGTTGAGTACGCCTATGGGGAGGCGTGGTGTGGGAAGAGGGAAGGAGCGTGATTCGGAGTATGCTCAAGTTCGAAGAAGAATTATGATGCCGTATGTCCTCTCTGGTAAGTTTATGAGGATTCTCATTGGGAGGTGTATTTTCGATAACTATGTTGTGTGTTTTGAAGAAATGGTCGAGTTTTATGTGGGGAAAAATCAACTGTAAAAATTAGAAATTTGCGATTTTGCAAGATTCCCTTTCTTTCCTTTCAGGTTACGTCCAATTGGCACTGAATATCGCGGTAGGCGTGTTCTGGCTTTATATGCTGTATTCTCTCGCTACTACTATTTCGGCTGATATCAATGAAAAAGTGACTTCGATATTTCTGCTGTTGTTGTTGTTGCCCATATTGGCGTCTCTCTCATAGATGAGTATCTACTCTGATGAAGTGATGGATCAGATCAGTCAGTGTTCGAGAGACTATCGCGAGAATAGATGTGATCCATCTACTAGGGTGCCGGCAGTAGAGCAGGGTAATAGGGAATAGTACGTGGGTGGTCGCTTGATGTGGTTGTGAATTGAGTATTGGTTATGGAAACGAAGTGAAGGAGTTATGGTAATGAGGATTTTTTTCTAAAATATATAGTAAACTTCGTTCCTTAGTTTTTGGTGATATTTTCTGCTTTTGACTGGTGTGACGGGGGATAGCAATAGTTGTTGCTGTTGTTGTTGCTATCAGCTTGTCGCACGTGGGAACAGTGTATGGCGCGCGACCCGGTTTTAGTGGCTAAGAGGAGCAACTTCACTATGGAGACGCTGGGGGAGAGTTTGAATGGATTCTTCGAGAAGTTGACGTGGAAAACCATCGCCTGTCTGGTAGTGATTGGGAGGCTCCTTCAGGATGCTAAAAATTATTGCATTTCCCTTGTATTTTTTATCTTCTCGAGAGAGTTTGTCCGGTGGTCTAATAATTACATGTTGATGTTGATCCACACTGAAAAGTCGATGTGAGCGAGTTTTCAAGAGACGGCTAACTGACCTAGCGATTCATGCTTTTGTCGAGAACTGTGTGTGTGGGAATTTGAGAGGCTCAGGATTGTTGTTGTTGTTGTTGTTGCTGTTGTTGTTGTTGTTGTTGTTGTTGTTGTTGTTGTTGTTGTTGTTGTTGTTGTTGGATGATCGATGATCCCTATCGGGGAGTTCATCAGCATATGCTGGATGCATACCTCTATGGACCTTGTGTAGAGGAGGACGTGTTGTTGGGCCAATAACACCTCCTCCTCCTCCTCCTTCTCCTCCCACTGCGCCAATAACTTTGGCGTTTCAGATGCTGTTGTGCTTTGGGCTGGTGATATCATATAATGCAGCATTCTGGATGACGAGTAAAAGTGGGGGGAATTCTGGGGCCGGTATGCCAAGGGAGTTATTGCGGGAATTACGACAAGCTAAGAGGGCAGGTAGTGATGGTAGTCGAGTAGGGAATGCGCGTGGCTGTAGATCGAGAGGTCGTGGGTTCGATTCTAGGGGTAGGCATTTATCCCTGCTGAGTTTCGGAAAAGCTCTGAGGTTGGCGGTGATTTCGACACCCAAAAGACGTCAAGTTGCCTACGCATTGACTTTAAGCGCATAAATAGTTTTGTATAATTTAACGAGTGAAATCAATTAGGTTAATCAGGACTCGAGGTTATGAGTAGTGGTGATGGGACTCCGTGTTGAGCGTATCTGTACTTCTCTGTAGTGTATTCATCTTCTGAGGAAGATGATGATGACGATGAGCCCGCCCTATACCGGCATCTACATCGACGCAGTGCCAGCCGGGCTTCCCCATCAACGTAATAATGTACTATATTTCTACTAAGTTGAGTTGACTCTGTTTCTTATCTTCTACATTGAGTTGAGTTGGAACTGGTGCTGAGATCGGTGAACTTTCCTTACTGTGGGAGAGTGGGTACTTTTATGCAACTCGGCCAGCGGCAATTATGATGAGTACTTGCTGTAACAGAGAGGGGTATAATGATTAGAATATTATACCTCGTATTTTAAATAGAATCATATCATTCGCCGGAATTTGAGGTCCTATGGCATAGTCTTGAGACGGGCCTCTTAGTAGAGAGGGTAGTCTTGTTGTGGTTTATACAAAATCGAGCGGAGGTTCGTCGATGACGTGTTCATAATACGTCAAGAAATTGTCATCATCGCAACGATGATGGAACTACAAGGAATGTATTATATAATTTTTATGGAAGGCGTGGTATGTGACGATGAGATTAGTTCGACCATCACGATGCCAGTGACTACTCGTCGAGCGAGCTATGATGACCCACCGTCCGACACGGCCATAGGAGAAGGAATACAGAGTACGTTGGGATCGGCTGCTTTGGTTGACTATGGCTTTAGACACTCCCGAAAAAACAAGGTCATCTGTGCAGTGTAGGGGGTTGCAGACGGCCCCTCCAGCGGCTGTGGTTCGCAAGGAGGAAGGAACACCGGATGCGGTGCTTTTGAAGTGCTATAGCCGACATGTAATACGAAGAGCTGGGGGGAATTTTGTGGCGCGTGACGATTTTTGGAACTTTTTCTACGTCACTTCAGTTTTTTTGATGAGCATTTGAATGTAAATGGACTGGTTTTTTTAGGGCCAGAAAAATGCGAAAAATTACAATTGTAATATCCTGGCGAAGTTTGCATATTTTTGGATGATCGTGTTAGAATAGGCGTGCGATATGCGAAACTTTGGGGGGCTTTAAAGTCGCTGATGCTTTCATCAAAATCAATGCATTGAAATGATCCTAGGCTCGTTTTGTGGATGAAATTTGCGGAGCATTTACTGTCCATTCGGGTATTCCGTGTGTGCTCGTTGTTCGAAAGTCTAGTTTGGTTTTGTAAAGTAGATTCACAATAGAGATGTGGAATCGTTTTTTGAAACTGTATGCGACGATTATATAAGTGGGTGATTTTTTCCCGAACGTTTTAGCTATCGTTCAATCCCGGGATGTTGGATCATTCGCGATACTGGTCGGAGGAGAGTCTCAGAGATTTGTGCCGAAAGTTGAATTTGGAGGTAGGCCGCAAAGATTCCTTCGTATCTTTGCGCACAGCGAAGATTTTGTCTAATCTCAGTCGACTGGAACGCGAGAAGAGTTGATAAATCGTCTAAGAACGTGGCATGAGGAAATGGATGTTGGTGGTAACGCGGCGGTCGGGTTGCGGAGTTACTCGGCAGCAGGTAGTATAGGGAGTGGCGGTGTGATGTGGGGTAGTTTGAGGGAGGAGTGGTATGGGAATGATGATGAATTTTTATTTTTATTTTTATTTTTTATTTTTTATTTTTTATTTTTTACTTTTTACTTTTTACTTTTTACTTTTTACTTTTTAATTTTTTCAAGAAATGAGGAAAAAAATAGAAACTAAGTGATGAGTATTATTTATGTTTTTTTGTATTTCTTTTTGTGTATTATTAATTTTTTCTCCAATTTCAAGTTGGGTCAGCTTGAAGTTAGAGTAGGAGATTCGTCCGATTGCGATTTCTCTCGTTCTTTCTCAGGTGGTAATTTTTGGCTGATTTCTGTAAAGGAGACTTTGGTGGCCTCCAAATTTAAGAGTCCATTCAAAAGGGGAAGTGCTGTGGATGGTGATGGAGTAGTGAAGCCGATATTGAGGTAAAATCGACCGCTGTGGGAAACGAACTTGTGCGGGGTTAGGAGGAGTGGAATTGTTGTCTTCAGACAGGATTCTCCCCATGCGGACTCGTTTTCTATTGTCTAGAATCTATACTTCGATGCAGGGAATCTTTCAAGAACTTATAATTTTCCCGGGAAAAACTCACCTTTGATGAATTTTCCACGTATGGCTAAGAACACATTCTTCAATCAGTTCCCCATGTAAATGTCATCATCACATTAGGAACATTTCTCACAAACCCTGGGGGAACGTGATTTCTCGAAACTAGTGATATGATCATTTTCAGACGAGATTCTGCGTATGCGGATGAGTCGGACTTGCCTTATATTGTCCCGAAGGATGGTTCGACGAAAAAAAGGAGAAGTGGTTCTCTTGGCGGAGTCACAGAGAGCAAAGCTAAGCGAAGAACTAGGTAAGGTGGAAAGTGACGGATTTATGGTATTAGAATATATAATAATCGTCGGACTGCGTTCACGAAAGATTCGTGTTTGATCGCTCCTGAGATGAGGGTGACGGTATTAGTGTATATATACTGGTAGTGGAATAATACTGCGTATATATAGCGTTAAATCGTTGGTGTTATTCGTGGTAAATTACTTAGAAGTTTAATATGATAAAATCACTAAAATATTTCCATTCGAAATAAATTGATACGATAGTAACTTGTATAAAGTGGAGGGTTTGCTGTTAGCCTCGAACGCCAGAATAGTAGTTGCTGAGTTCGGAAGTTGAATTTGTTCCTAAGAATTTTCATATCGGCTACTACCTTAACCGTGCAGCGCACTCACGTGAAGAGTGTAACTACGTGGTAAATGAATATAATAATATTTTGTATCCTAGTTGTATTATCATATAATTTCTATATAGTACTATAATGGAGTTCACCCTAGTGATGTGAAAAACACTAGTGAAAAAC